ATTTATTTTCGCTGTTCTCTGTGACAGGGACAGTCACGCACCGAGAACCAAGTACAGGGTAGGTCAACATCATATACAGAGTGTAGAAGTTCTAAATAAAATTCAAATTCGTTTGAATTTAAATTATTTAACAGTTACTCTGCGAATTCGAGTCGTATGTCAGCTGATAGCCGATGAGGTGCATAGCACCACACACTGAGGCTGCGCCGGAAGCATTTCGAAGGTGAAGGGGCATTGGCCAAAAGGGACACTTTTGTATATGACCAAAATCAAACGATTTTATGTCGTTCACGAGCCGAACGAAAATTTTTGAAAATATGTTGTCTTTATAACGTCGGAAATGGCCTTACAGTCTTTACCACTGCAAAAAAGGGCACTTTAATTTCTTTCCAGCAAAAGAGGCCGTTCATTCAAGAAATACTTTTTTCGATCTTTAAATAGGGCACTTTAGCCCAGAAAAGAGGGCAGTTTTTTCACTTTTAAAAAAAGTGGGGGGGGGGCATGCTTCCATGCCCCTCCCCCACGGTTCCGCGGCCCCTGGCACCACAGATAAATGCAACATTAATATGTGTTTAATTATTTCGCATGCATGCATAGCTAATAAGTTTCTCAAAACAATTAGTACAGGCTTTGTGAAAGCCACCTACATGCAGTGTGTCCCCAAAAAAGGCTACCCTTTGAAGTCAAGCGCTAGTGCCGCATGTTCGAATTTGAATGCTTTAACTCCCTAATGAGCCCTGGAATGCGTAAAACGTTATAGCAGAGCATTTTTATGCATGCATTGCAAATTAATTGAAATTTGTTCCGCTGGCTAAAATAACACAGAATGGAATGCATGAATATACATGTATAATGTTTTACGCATTCCAGTGCTCATTAGGGAGTTCAGAGCATTCAAATTCGAACATGCGGCACTAGCGCTTGACTTCAAACGGTAGCCTTTTTGGGGGACACACTGTACAAGGTGTCCCAAAAAACCCCCAAACTATTGAAAATTTGAAATAACGTATTGTTAGAATTTGAATTTCCGAGCACTGAATGCAAAGATGCGTAAAATATTGACAGGGTGCATATATTAAATATTGTCTTATATCTTTGTAAAGCGAACGATGATTTTCTGCTCTTGGGAATTAAAGCAGCTTCTTAAATTCTAAACGAGAATAACTTAAAACTCTTTCTCGACATGTGACATTTTTCACGGCAAGCAATATTTTGATTCAACTGTTTTATAACGTAAATATTTCAGTGCGTATTCACCCCCCTTAAAAACAAAGAACACCATTGGAATCTTAACAAAATAAGCTTTTCATCGGGGGGTCTAATGCCGTCAAAACAAATACACAAACCGAAACAATCGTATATTTACTCACCGCTTGGCCAAACATTCTGTATTTTCATATGGAGAAAATGTTGAATATTTTCTAAACTCTTCAGTATTCGCCGCAAGTTAATGTTAATGAAATATTCCTTGTATTCAAGCGCTTTTATGTAGAAAGTTTCGTTTGAATACGGCGAGTAGAAATGTTTATTTTGTTTTTTTCAAAATATCGGGTTTCATCGGGTTTTTACTCGCACGCGCGTGCTGCATGTAAAATTGGCCAATAAGGGGTCTCCCGTAGCCCAGTGCACGTGAAAAGCACGCTTCAGATGTAATTTGACCTTTAGAATCGATTTCCGATGTTTTCCGAACGCTAGGATGTAAACCATAGATATCTCATATACACTAGATAGCGCATCCCACCCTGTAGGCAGGCGAAAATTGAAGCCTGATCGCAGTCGCAGTTTACGTGCGGCGGCCATATTGGTCGTTCCCACCGAGCGTGATAATTTGTATATTTTGTATTGCGGAAATGGACAAAGTTGACAATAAATCCTCTTTTATGCAGTCAATTTTGGTTTTCAAGTGTGCAACTTGTTGTAAATGATGCCAGATCGTTGGAGCTTCATATTGTGAATAATGGGTAGGCAGAATTTAATTATTTTTTTCGAAAATATCAATATTTGTCGACCCGTATGAAGGGCGCCCATAGGACAAACCCTATGGACAAACCATCATTGTTGATGTACATATAAATATAGTTCCACCAATTCCAAATAAAACATTTTGAGCTATCGTCATTGCTTCATGGCAAAATTGTGAATGTATTTGCATATTCTTTTGTAAAAGACAGCGACACTGAAAAACATATTTTAGTCACAGTTTATCAATGGGCTATTCCATTTAATATCCGTACCCCCCCTGTCGAGGATCCCTGGAATTCTTCAGGGGTCTTTGGTTTTGAGCTTGGAATTCTTCAGGGGTAAAGTGTTTTGAGTTTGGAATTCTTCAGGGGTAAAGTGTTTTGAGTTTGGAATTCTTCAGGGGTAAATGGTTTTGAGCTTGGAATTCTTCAGGGGTAAAGGGTTTTGAGCTTGGAATTCTTCAGGGGTAAAGAGGTTTGAGATTGAAATTTTTCAGAGCTTGGAATTCTTCAGGGGTGAAGGGTTTTGAACTTGAAATTCTTCAGGGGTAAAAGGTTTTGAGCTTGAAATTCTTCAGGGGTAAAGGGTTTTGAGCTTGGAATTCTTTAGGGGTGAAGGGTTTTGAGCTTGGAATTCTTCAGGGGTAAAAGGTTTTGAGCTTGGAATTCTTCAGGGGTAAAGGGTTTTGCACGATGGTCGGTTGCTATGCAGTTTGCTCCCGGAGTCAATTTGCGATTGTTGTTAGTTTCCGGTCTGCTAGCTGTGATTTAAGGCGCGGTTAAAATACCGCGTCTTTAGCGCTCTCGTTTGCGTTTACTTTCAAACATTTTTAAAACAATACTTGCCCAATTAGTACATACTTGAACCGTTTAAAGATATCGCAGCGCAAACTAGTCACAGGACAAATGCAAAGCGGTAAATTATGGTGTTATTATGGGCATGTATTTTCGCATTCCAGTCGAAGGATATCCCGCCCACAAGGACAAATTCTACCATCTAGGGGTCCCACAGCACCACACGTGTGTGCCCTACAATCTCCCTTTGAAAACCCCCCTGGATTTATAGCATTGCCAGAATTATAAGCGAAAATAGCTGAAAATTCCGCATTTTTCGTTTTATTTTTCAAATATTTTTGCTAAAACGTAAATCTGGAGACACTTCCCAAATCAAAGTTGAAGAATATCATTTATTGAAGAACTTCTAATGGTGAGCAGTAGCGAAGAAAGGTGAGGAGAAAATATCCTTCGGCAAACTCATTTGCATTATTAGCGTATTCGTGACTCGCCATATTGTTGCTTCACCACGCGCTGTCTTGTCTTTCTAACTCGATAGATTATTGCTGTAAAAGTCAAACGTGTGATGGAAATAAAGGAAATCCAGCAAAATCCAACAAACAGAGACCACTAGCGGATAATTTTTTGGAAAAAATCTCCATTCTTTAACCTCAGAGAAGGCGAAGGAGATCTGTCACGCAAGTCACGCGAGGTTCATATTGTAGGCCTACTAAGAATAAACTGAGGTTAATTGAGCTTGGCATTGGAACCCGGCTTAATTAAGTTACTAAATAGTATAAGCTGTAGAACGGCTGCATATTTATAAGTTGATTGTCAGTTTAATATAATATGTGATATCGAAATATTAAAATTACAACATAGGCCACAAGTTGTAGGTTTTTGTTTAAAAGGCAGTCTGATTATATAAACCTATTAACTAATAGTAGCCAACACAACACTTACCGGCCCATTTCAGGGGTAGAATTATCTGGTGTTTATAGCCTAGATATCGTAAAATACAAAAGCAGGGTGTATACACGATACATCAAGGGCCATAAAATGAGACTGATAGCTGAAACTACTGATTTATCTGCATGTATTCTTGTATTCTCATATTTGTTTACTTCGCCTCATACTGCGTGCCTTGAGTTAGCTGGTTTCTTTACTTCGATAAAAGCTTATCGTGTGGCTTACACAAGTTTTATTTACATTAATATGACTACAGAATACTTAGTTATAGTTTACAAAAGAAATCAGTTACACATGCGTTTATTTAAGCTACGGTCGGG